ATCTTATGTACCATGTTTTTAAGCAAATAAAATTTCTATTTATCTATCTTCTTTTAAACTTGATATCTTTTTAAATTATTAACATAATTTTGTATTGCAAGAAGACACAGCGCGGACGCTGTAATTATTTCGACGTCTGCCATAGTCGAAAGCCGAAAGTGATGTGAGTGGTGGTAGGGCACAGTGTAAATACACACTTCCCGCGATCCTGCTACGGCAGTATTTACTATTTAGCGAAGTATTGACGGCAGCGCGAGGAGCAGTGGAAGGGGCTGAATGTAAATGAGGCTTTAGATGCTACAAGCTGTCTTATAAAAAAATAGGTGAAAAATTATGAGAACTAGTAATTTAAGTAATGTAGCTTGTAAAATATAATAAAAGTTTTACCTTGAATTTTATTGTTGTTTTACTATGTATCATTATTATTTAATTGTGTAGAGAAAAAAAGAAAATTTATTGTTACAACGAATTTATTTATTAAAACTAAATATTTATTTATTTTAAATGAATATAAAGTTATAAACATGATAATACATATAACTTAAGCTATACACTTATCTCTTACCTACTTACCCCTTACTTACAGTACATAGTAGTAGCATTACATAGTTTTACATTCAAATTTATTAAAATATAGTTTTATAGTGTCCCCACGGTAACGTATTATAGCCATCTGCCATAATTTGTCTTTTGTTATCATCTCCATTAAGTACAAGTTTATCAACTTTTTGAGTAAATATTTGATGATTCTTTGATCTAATTATACACATACTCTTACTAAAGTTTCCATTAGACCATAACGCTCGTTTATATTTTTCAATATTAAGATTTTTAGTAACAGATTTTTTAATTTCCTTAGCTTTCCTTATTGAGGTTGTTTTAGAATCAATACAATATAAATTTCGATCTTAATCCAACAAATTCAGTTATTTTATCACCACCCATTTCGTCTTTGAAAAACCCTGGAATTTTACAATTTACTTTAGGCATATCATACTGATCGTTTCTGAAATTACTTGTAAAGTAAAATCATTTGTATTTATTAGATACAGCAGACTATCAGTATCCGTATAGAGTTGCAGCGAATTTTTATACATGCGTTTCATTATAGACTAATGAAAATGATATAAATGACTCTTGGCTAAATCCAGAATTGAAAACCTAATGTAAATTGGGCGATCAAGAATAACTTTTAATAGTTCTAACTGGATTGCTACTTACGAATCTGAAATTATTGACAAATTTTTAAAATTAGGAGCACTTACATATTTTTTACCTTGTATTTCAGACAGACAGCAGATTTGTTTTCGTTTATTCTCTATTATTTTTCCAAAAATAGAATTGTCTCGTTTTTTAAAAAAAAATTCTTTCATTCGTTAACCTAACACAGGTATTGATATACTTAAAAGGAGACCCCAGCCTAGTTAATGTATTTAAATTTTTATACTGAATAAAGAATTTTGAATTTTTTGAATTTAACCCTAGCTAAAGTCGGCCGCCATCTTTGCGATTCGTTCGCCAAGCACTCAGCACTGAGATCGACTCAGGGTTTTTGAGAACGTATTTAGCCAGATTTATTTTATTTTGTATGAATTGTAAATATAACATAATTTACAAGTTTTCTAATGTTTTGAAAACTTCAAGACTTTACCCGTTTATTGTATAGGTGTAATTGATTGCGTCGTGAAATGTATTTTCAGATTTAACAATTTAAGTAATCATTGCGAATTGGCTGAAAATACGCCACATGCTTTTAATTTACAAATTATGACATGAATTTATAGATAGCCATTTATTTGTTTTAATTATATAAAAGTAAATGAAATTTCCTTTACGAAGGTGGCTATATTTTTGGTCTACGTAATCAAGTTTTTATGTAATAACAGCCTAGATTGTAACTAACAAATAGCGATCAATTGTGCAATCCGTGAATTCTTCATCAGGTTTCATTTAATATTTTACTATGTTTTTAAACATAAATCGTTTTATAATATGGATAAATATATCAGGTAATTCATTAAGTTTAAGGATATAATGAATAATCACTTTTTAGAGAAAGGAATTCGCGGCGTTCTTGCTCAATTTTTTCTAAGATATGCAAAAGCAAACAATAAATACATGTCCTATTATGACATCAAGGATAAAAAAAATTTTTAGTTTATCTTGAATGTGTAAATTTATATGGTTTTGCTATGATGCAAAAGTTACCAACGGGGAACTTTGAATTTCTAAGTGAAAAATAAGTAAGAAGTAATAAGTTGCTGACAACACTTAAACAAAACGCTGCTTCAGACTTTGAAAGATTTTTTTTTAAAACGAGACAATTCTATTTTTTGGAAATACAATATAGAATAAACGAAAACAAATCCGCTGTCTGTCTGAAATATAAGCTAAAAAAATATGTAAGTGCTCCTAAAAATCAAAAAGTTTTAAAGCAATTCAAAACTAATAATAGGGGTAATTTATGTTCATCATTTTTTATCACTATTAAGAGGAAATACAGTTTTTTTAATTAGTAATAAAATACGCATACAATAATATTTCTCATTTACATAGAAGGTGTGTTATAGTTAAAAATATTTAGATGCTTAACAAATCAACGTATAGATAATAATGTTACATTATCACTAATATCCCGATTATGATCAATAGATCGATGAAATATTATTGCTGGTGTGCTATATCAAGTGAATTGGCATTTATGTTATGAGTGATGGTTATATATCAGTAATTTATAAAAAAAATTGTTTTAATAAAATTATTTATAAAAACAAAATTAAAAGATGATTTATACTTTTCTACAATATAAAACTCTCTGTGGGCATCAATGTTAGCATGAGAAGCGTGCGTGCGTGCGAGCGTGAGAGCGTGCGTGCGTGCGTGCGTGGTGCGTGCGTGCGTGCGTGCGTGCGTACGTGCGTGCGTGCGTGCGTGGGTGCGTGCGCGCGTTCGCGTGTGCATGCATGCGTGCGTGCGTGCGTGCGTGCGAGCGTGCGTGCGTGCGTGCTTGAGTGAGTGTGTGTGTGTGTGTGTGTCTCCCTCTCTCTCTCTCTCTCTCTCTCTCTCTCTCTCTGTGTGTGTGTTTGTGTGTGTGTGTGTGTGTGTGTGTGTGTGTGTGTTGTGCGTGTGCGGGTGTGTGTGTATGTGTGTGTGTGTGTGTGAGTGTGTGTGTGTGTGTGTGTGTGTGTGTGTGTGTATGTGTGTGTGGTGTGTGCGCGCATGCGTGCGTGTGTGTGTGTGTGTAACTGCACGCGCGTGTGTGTGTGTGTGTGTGTGTGTGTGTGTGTGGTGTGTGTGCGTGTGTGTGTCTAACGACCTATATACTTACATTATTGGTGATTACAAACATATCGGTACATAGCATATGACGCGCGGGAAAGTGGGGACAAAATTAGAAATTGAGCTGAGTTTCTATAGCCCCTTAAGGCACGGGCTCTTCCTCTGTAACATTTTTACAGGGTGTATACGTGTGATATATAATTTAGATAATCAATGTCGGTTCACGTGCTCGCAATCGACTGTGAACAATGATTTCAAAAGGAAGGATAGGCCCATCTAAACATTTTTCTCATAACTTTTTCAAACAAGAAAAAGTAGCGCATCTGTCATAATACAAACGTTATATCAAAACACGACGTAACCAGAGTATAATTATCCTAATTGTACCATTATTTCATAGTTTGTAGTATAAAGTATCGTAATAATACTAAGCGAAAATACCGTAATTTTACCTAAAGGTCGACTTGTATTATTATTGGGTCCTTTTACTTTTTAATATTAACCCTACGATATCGAGAATTTCTGTATTATACATGAGTACCGCGTTTTTTAATAAAATTAGAATTAGCTCCCTTTCTGGTCAATCAGTGCTCGATCGATGCATTTATGTTGCATCCTTTATAGAACTATAATGAGGGGCTACCACGATAAAACTCTATGCTCCAGAAGCAATCGGCTTGAAAACAGCATTTCAAAATATTTTATGAATCAGATTTTCAGATTCAATTAAGCAGATATGATTGCTTTTGTACTCTTTTCGATTTACCCTTATTGAATATAAAATATATTAGGTACCAATTTTCAAAATTTAACTTACACTAAGTTTTTTTAGACAAAAATAGAACAGAAATAAAAATAAAACCGTCAAACAAACGAAACGTATAGATAAACTAGACGCGTGACGCCAAAATCCCGGCACATGGGAAAAAGAAACATGAAACGTCAAAAGTGATATTTCAATTAAGCAGATATGATTGCTTTTGTACTTTTTTCGATTTACCCTTATTGATATATTAGGTACCAATTTTCAAAATTTAACTTACACTAAGTTTTTTTAGACAAAAATAGAACAGAAATAAAAATAAAACCGTCAAAAAACGAAACGTATAGATAAACTAGACGCGTGACGCCAAAATCCCGGCACATAGGAAAAAAGAAACATGAAACGTCAAACGTGATATAATTTTTATTAAATAGTATAATTTTATTTTCCATGTACAATATTTTTGAGGGTCTGAATCCAACCCTGGCCTAATCTTGGTAACGTAACTAAACTAACTATAAAATAAAACTTTAAAAATGCGTTTATATAATAATTTAATTGTAACAAAATTAATATTAGGTTATTTACCGACGGTAAGATATCCCATGTTCCTTTTAAATCTTTGTAGCGTAATTTTTGCATCATTTTACCACGCAACTATACATATTTATGACAGGCAAATCACTGTCGACCGATTCGCGTTGGCCCTAAACTGTAATTTTAGGGCCAGCGCACTGGTCCGTTTTAGATGTTCGATCGGCCCGGTCCTTACGCAAGTAATATATAAGTCAATGACTGTGAAGCAATTTAAACCGATGGCGCTGTGTGAACCTTACATTCATCGGTCAACCGTTTGTTTGACAGGTCGTGCTTAGTTTACGGTCTACGTCTGTGAGCGTCGTTCGCAATGAGGCGAATTTTGAGATACCTAATTGTATTTTTATTATGAGACAGCAATATGATCAATTTTAGGGTGCTTGCTACAGGAATATCGACTGTCGCGAAGTCGTTCGCCAAGCACACCGTGGTCCCAGACGTCATCCCAGTGGTCCCGACTGCCCCATGGAAGGTTTTATTGTTCATTTTTATACATTCACAATAAAATTCTAAGATGATAAGAGAGAATAAACGCAATTGAAGTTTTATAAGAAATCTTCCTATCTTTAAAATTTTCATGTATGAATACATTCATATAAATACATTCACTATGTGGTAGAATCAAATAAATATTTCAGAAGCAAACATATTCAAAAATAATAGATAAATTCCAATTTAGCCAGGTTTAGGTCAGTCTTTCAGCCTTTCTGGTATGAAGCCTATCACTACTAATACAAAAATATGTATATTTATCTTTACACGTAGAAATAACATACCTATTTAATGTGAACGTTTTTTTTTAATTTATTACCTAATATTTTTTTATTTTAATTCTTATAATATCACTTTGTACGTCAATAGTAATGATCTACGTTTTATATTAATTGTATTAAATTGTCAATTCAATAAATAACATCATTTAGCATATCTGGTAACAAAAACATCAATTAATGTATTAACTCAAGTAAGGCATTGAAGTGCTAAGTTATTTTCATTATTTAGTTTCATTGCTATCAACTTCAAATTTGTTGTTTTAAATGTTTTAATTGTTAAAGAAGAGCGTTTTTTGTAGTGGTGAATGGATATCAGTCAGGTTTAAAAAATATTAATTCTGGTGTGCCCCAAGGGTCTCATCTTGGACCGATTCTGTTTGGGGTGTTCGTAAATGAAATTCCAGAATTGATGAAATGGTCTCGTGTGTACTTGTATGCGGATGACTTAAAAATTTGCAAGACGATTGTGGAAGAGAACGATTCAATAAAGCTATAGAACAATTTTGATCAACTGATTAAATGGTGCAAAGTAAATCGTATGGACATTAGTAAATGTTTCTATGTGCAATATGCGAGAAAAAGTAACACTATCCACTATAGCTATCACATTGGATGTAATAAAATACAGCTACATACTATACTACTAAATACAGTTTACAGTACCAAATTAAAGACCTCGGGGTCACATTTGATAAAAAATTAACTTTAGTACCCCACATTGAAAACATTACTAAACGTGCATCTAGAATGTTGGGGTTTGTCATAAGATATATCAAAGTCTTTCGAAGTGCTAAAATTAAAATTCTTTTATTTAACAGTTTGGTAAGTAGTATATTAGAGTACTGTGCTGTAGTCTGGAGATATCATTACGCTACACAATCACTGAGAATCGAGCGGATCCAAAAAAGATTTATAAGATATTTGTCATACGCAAGCGGATTTAGAAGTAATAAGAAGCGTGTATCATATGAAAATAATTTTATCAATTTCAAAATGATTTCTCTAGAAAACCGCAGGATATTATTGATTTGATTTTTGCTTCTAAAATTATTAGTGGTGTTACTGACTGTCCTGAAATTTTAAGTAAATTTAATATAATATGCATTCCCTTTCGTTTAGGCATGTCGATCTAAAATCGATTAATCGAAAAATCTATTCTTTGGAGTAAAATTATCGATTTTTTAGATCGATTCGAAGCACCGCATCGATTCACTGAATCGATCCAAAAACCTATTGAATCGGACTGATTCATCTGATTCAAGAACTAGCTAAAATTCCCAAACTGGCTGGGGTAAGATACCACAGTTTTTTAATTTTTTTTTGTTGTTGGGGGACGCAAAAACAACCGGTCGTACTTGGTTGATAATTTGAAAGCAATATATATTTGATTAAAATAAATGTTTATAAACGCATCCAACAATATTGAAAAGTTGTCATTTCATTTTCATATCTAAAATTCTTAAGCCCACTTTCCACTAAGGGATATAATGTAATTTAATATTACATCTCGAGATATATATTAATATCGCTCACCGTACTTTTAAATAGAACCGTTTCCACTGAGGTGTAATTCCATCCCAAACTATAAATATTTTTTCGATCGACCGAGCGATATTTTTATATTATATTTCACCTCCTGTGCTATAATATAATATAATATTATAGCTGTGACCATGTTTGAACTGTGAACTTGTGAATTTACATTATTTATTATCAAAAATATACATACTGTGAGCTGTGAGTACAGACAGAGTACTTTTTAAATACCTAGATACTGTAAAAAATATTATACCGTACGTTGAAGTTTATAGAGGTTTATTGTAAGGAAATAACCAGTATTGTGTTCGTGTAGCATTCATTTCAATATGATAAATAGTGAGTTATTAGATTGAAACAGATTTATCGAGAAATGTACGTTGCAGTTTGCACTTTTGTAAAAGTATTGTTGTTGTTTTTAGCCTAAAATGTCAAATAAAAGTGTTACGTGGAATCACTTTGTAAAAAAAGGGATCGAGTGGAGTATGTGCGAACCACTCCTAACACAAGCGTTTCAAGCTTACCAGGACTGGTTAAAAGGAATATTAGTAATGTTAATCAATAATATATTATTTTAAAAAAAATATTACAGTTTAGAAGTTAAAGAAAAAAAATTGAAAATTCTTGAAATTTCATGTTTGAAAATGTCGCGATTAATCGAAAATCGATCTTTTATTCCTCGATTTAATCGATAATCGATTCAAGTACCTTCGATTCAAATCATTCAAATCGAAGGATAGGCTCAGAAGGTCTAGAAACCAGAGCTGTAAAGCCAGTTAATAAAGAAAAATTACTTTCCTCTATGACAGTATTACAATTAAGCATACTTACTATTATACTCTTTGGTTGTTACTCTGTGACCACAAATTATAAAGTTGTATGCACAAATTATAAAGTTGTATGTTGACTCTGTGATTGTTATAAGTTATAACCTAAAAGTTATATTTAGGGTGTAAGCTTTGATAGAAGTACATTTTCAATAATACTACATTGCTTTCATATAAGGTAAGTTATTTTATTTTATTCATAATTGAGTAATAAATTAATAGCACATATATCTTATATTGATGTTTTAGCTACAAGTGTAAAAGGCGGTTTAAAGTTTTACGCTAATTATCCAAATAGCTTCAATTTAAATATAAAATTACGTAACAGCTGTGGAGTAGAGATAGAAAATCACAAATATGTGTTAAATATATATTTAAATTTGCCTTATATATTTTTAAGATTGCCGTCCGATAAAAAAAATGTGGTATGCTAGAAATGTCAGATCGCCGGTACGCACTTATATTGTAAGAAGACAAATTGAATTGTTACAAAAAATATTAGAAACTAATTGAAAAAGGCCGTTTTAGGCTAATATTTCCAATATGGACCATCGATTTCAAAGCCCATATTTTTTTTGTAGATAGTACTCACTAAAAGAAAGCGTTTTGCAAAGTTGCGGTTCATGAGATATATTTTTTTAAACTTTTCATACAAATTTTCAAATAACACGCAATTACCAAATAAATTTGACAAATGGTTGATGTCAAACGTCAATTAGTGTGGATTCCGAAAAATTTCAAAGTATCGATACCTACTCGATACCAAGTATCGCATCAAAAGTATCAATACTACTTGGTATCGAGAACATTTCTTTAATTTTGTAGACGAAAAATTGTGACAAACCATTTAGATGCATATGAAGAGCTGATAATTGCAATTAAATATGTATATAAAATAGAATAAAATTTACTCTATTTTAGTTCCACCTTAGTACTGGTATATTAACTATTACTATATTAAGCTTTTGTACTTGTATTTTATTGTTTGCAACTTTCTGTATTATCTAATTCCTACTACAATAAATTGTTTACTTTTTTAATATCCGAATCAGAGCACCCCACTATTTACATGGTCTTGTCTGCCCTATCCCTAGAGTGTATATAAGAGCCTGGAGGCGCGGAGGGAGAGCAGTGCCCAAAGCCGAAGCTGCGAAGGCGAGCTCAGGTGCTTGTGCTTCCCTACGCTAGGGCGGAGGGACTGCTCATCCCGCAACGCCTGAGCTGCCACGGAGCGGAACACGGCTTCCCCGCTTCTAACCCCCCCACCTCACTTCCCCGCTACTAACCCACCACACCACTTCCCCGCTACTAACCCCCCATCTCATAAGCCCCACCCCTTTTTTCATTTAATCTAGTTCATTTCACCACTCCTCCCTCATATCCCCCCCCTCCGTTTCATCGGACATACAGAGAATAATAATAAATAATATAATAAATTTTAACCATGAATATCTCCAAAACCATGGGGTTCCGCAGGGTGGGGATGGCACAGGGGGGGTAGCCATCCCCCCTCCAACCTTCTACCCCTAAAACCTCATATATCGGTGGTCCATATTAGAAAGTTAAAGTCTCCAAAATTAACAAAATGTACTCGATACCAAGTAGTATTGATACTTTTGATGCGATACTTGGTATCAATACTTTCAAAATTTTCGGAACCCTACACTAATTGAAAAGTGAAGTGATTGACATTTGACATCAATTATTTGTCCATTTAAATAACTTTTAGTGTTAGTTTTTACACACACTTTTTAGCATAAACACTATGGTATAATCGCATAATTTAAATTCTCTTTCATTTCCAAAGTCTTTAAAGCCTATGATTTCATCTTGTGACTCGGCATAGGTGAGTTGAGGTGTAAGAGCCACCTCATGAAACAAAACAGAGCATAATTTCTTCTTCGTGTCTCATTTTTTAACTTTATGCTTTAACAGCTTAAAAATATTTAAAAATATCAATTATTATTGCAACCTACCATCGGTTTTAGAATTTGCAGGTTCTTCAATTGATGGCCTCTTTTTAACATTATATTCCAAAACATAATTATGATCACTAATGTGGTCGTGTGCTGAAAAAAGTTTAAATTAACTAAGAATCTATTTTAACAGTGGGAAATTAATTATTAAGCACTCAAAGCGATAGTTTTAAGTAATGTTAGTTAAAAAAAAATTGAAAATTGCTTCTACAATTAGGAATAGTAATGTTATTAATACTCACAGTTGATTATAGTATTAGTAGTGAAATCGTTTGAATCTTCTAGGACAGCTAGTTTAAACCATAGTTGTGATCACTAAGAGCATGGGCAGCTAAAAAAATACACAAAGTTATAAACTTTAGTAGGCTTATTGTAATTGATACATCAGTTAGTAACACAAACATAACATAACATAAACACTCACGGCTGTCGCCCAGAGGGATAGGCAGAGACTACCGACTTCCATTTAGCATGATCCTGACGTATCTCTCTCGCGTCCTCCACATACATACATATACCTACGCATAAATGCACGTACAAGCGAACAGAAGAGTCGGAAAGGGGCGTCCTAGGCGAAAGTTTATCGACCAAATTGGCGATATATTGAAAATGGGCAATATTAACTCAAATATTTGTTACTTAAAATCAACTAATTTGAAGGATCAGAGGGAATACCGTGCATCATTTCTCTTGCAGTAAATAAGCAGGGATAACTATGCGCAAGGACCGGTTATCAATACCGTTGAACTGTTGTCTGTCGAAGTGTTTCTGGCACACATATTTATTTATTAGAACAATTGTTATATATTATTTAACAATTGTTCCTTAGATAAACCGCTTAGCTTAATATTAACAGGCACGAAGAAAGACAACCACAATTCCCGTAATTTATCGTCCTTTGGAAAGTTAAAAAGGCGATGAGTTTTGTTGTTGGCATTGCAACCTACAACACAATTTTCGCAATTTCAACATAGTGTAGCGTTCCACGTTAGACAAATAACCACTGATTGGGTAAGGGAACAGGTTGACTTTGAGATCTCGACTCTATCGGTCACGGCTAAGAGCAAAACAATGACTAACTACTACTAACCTTAAGCTTAAGCGAGCGTAAATCCCATGGCTGTCATACACTGTGATGTATCTCCCAGAATATATAAAATTAAATTTTTATAAAAAACTAAAAGCTTCAAAGAACTAAAAATACTATCTAAAGCTAAACATAATATCTTCTGGAGCCGTGCTAAGACATAGTGAATAGAAATTTGAACCTTTAGAACCATCCTGAGAGGTGGAATTTTCTCCAAATTTATTTTACAAGGTGTAAGTGTAAACACCGTTGTCACTAAAACCATAGGTTAAGGTAGTTGGCTTTAATATCAAAATATTTATCCGAATTAAAAAAAACCGCTATTATCTTTCATAAAATTTAAAAAGTTTCTATCCGACACCGTCCGTAAATTCATGGATACCCTATGCTGCGCCCGAGTGACGTAATCACTGTAAAGATCACCGCCCGCGCTAGCTACCTACACAACATTCCAATAAAAACACAATGGGTACACATAACCTGTGATGTAATTTTTCCTTCAAACTTTCATCCTGGCTTAGGACAGGCAAAAATTGAGGAATTAAGGAAAAAGTTATTTTTCATTGAATTTACGTTATATTTATAGAAGTGAAACCAAACCACTGGTTTCAAGGATAACGGTGTTTACACTAACCCCATGTATATACCGTGATGTATCACTTATTTCAATAAGTATAAGAATTATTATAATCATTTAACAATAATTGACGAAAACATCGCGTAACATACATTAAAAAAAACATCCAATGGAATTGAGAACGTATTGTTTTTTTTTTGAAGTTGACTAAAAGTTAAGTTTACTGAACACTAATAATTTCTCATCACTTACAATTCCCTCCTACAGAACTTAAAATATAGCTACGCATTATGTTTACAGAGACATACCCCTACAAGCTTTGAGTCTACTATAGTTTAAGAACTGTTATAATCAATTATTTTTACCCGATTTACCAGCTAGGGAGCTATATTATACAAAGTATACTCTCCTATACTTTGAGAATTTTGTAGTACATATAGCTACTAGCTAAATTTGTAATTATTATGTCCTTAATAGTCAGGCGCTAATCACTACTTTATATCATGGGTGGAATCTTGACCAAACCTTTTTTATATAGAAGAGGGGCCAAACAAGCATGCGGCTCACCTGATGTTAAGTGACTACCGCCGCCCATGATCAACCGCAACACCAGGGGAATTGCAGGTGCGTTGCCGGCCTTTTAGAAAGGAGTAAGCTCTTTTCTTGGAGGTCCCCAGGTCGTATCGGTCCGGAAAAATCGCCGGTGGTAAACTATTCCACAGAGAGGTCGTACGCGGAAATAAACTCTTTGTGAAACGTACAGTGGTGGTGGTGGTGGAAAATGCAAAGAGATGAAACATTTCTTCGGAGCGCCAGTGAATCGAGCCGATCGGAAAGCACTCGGTCGTCGACGATTCGAGCCGCTCTGCGCTGGATGCGGTCAAGTGAAAGGAGCTGGTAGTGGGGAGTCCCAGCCCAGAGATGGGAACAGTATTCCATGTGCGGCCGAACCTGCGCCTTGTAAAGTTGCAGGCGGTGTGCCGGCATGAAATACTGTCCCGCTCTGCTGAGCACGCCAAGCTTTTTAGAGGCCAATTTGCCCTTTACTCTTCCAAGTGACCACGAAACTGCACGTCACTCGATATTTCGACGCCCAGGATACCGATACTGGCTGAGGCAACAAGGGGAGGGCCTTGAAACTGGGGAGATAGTACGACAAAGGGGTTCTTTTTAGCGGTTAACGCGCAAAGTTGTGTCTTCTGGGCGTTAAACTGGACTAGATTTAGTCGCCTCCAATCCGAGATTCTGTTCAGCAAAGACTCGACTTCAGACACAAGTTTGTCCCGGTACTCGGAGACGTTTTCCCGAGAAATATTGGTACGGCCGGTGTACAGAGCATCACCAGTACTGTCATCTGCATAGCAATGAATGTTACGAGTTTGCAACATATCATTGATATGCAGAAGAAACAGCGTTGGCGATAGCACGCAGCTCTGTGGAACACCAGCATTAATAGGCTTGTAATCGGAGCTTGCACTGTCTACAACGACCTTAATGCTCCGATCTGCAAGAAAGTATGTGATCCAATGCACAATTTCTCGGGAATCCCATAGGAAGGGAGCTTCGAAATAAGCGCTTTGTGCCAAACCTGATCGAAAGTCTTCGCAATGTCCAAACTAACGGCCAATGCTTCCCCCTTGGACTCTACTGCCTCCGCCCATCTATGAGTTAGGTAGACCAGAAGATCACCAGCTGATCGACCACGGCGATAACCGTATTGGCGATAACTAATCAGCTGGTGATCCTCAAGGTACCTCATGAGCTGGCAGTTTACAATGGACTCCATTGTTTTGGAGAACAAGGAGGTGATGGCGATAGGCCGGTAGTTGGACGGGTCTGAGCGGTCGCCTTTTTTACTACAACGTCTTCCATGATTTTGGGACTACGTCTAGGGAGTAGGAGTACCGGAAAAGACGCGTTAAAACCGGTGCCAACTCTGGAGCACACGTCCTCAGCACAATTGGGGGGATTCCGTCAGGCCCACTCGACTTGTGGATGTCCAGGGAGAGGAGTGCTTTGCGAACCGAGCGCTGTGTGAACTGCACTTCCGGCATGGAGCACTCACATCGCGGGATGGTCGGCGGCGTACTCCCCCCGTCATCGAGAGTCGAGTTGGACGCAAGGAAAGAGCCTAGCAGATCGGCTTTCTCCTTTGCGGTATGGGCCCGTGAGTCGCCCTTCCTGTGCAGAGATGGAAGAGATGGCTTCCCTTGGACAGCCTTGGCAAGAGACCATCATGCACGGGATCCAGAAGGAAGGCGAACTAGTTTCTCGCCAATTCTGCCTATGTGCTCTGACTTTGCCTTGGCAATGACTCTTGAAGGACCTAGAGGCGGAATTATACTCTTTTTTAGAGCACTGGTGTTTACATCCCGGGACGTTGATGCGTCAGCCCAGGCTTGGTAGCACACCTGCTTATAGCATGATGCTATTTTACAGGAGCGACCAAACCATGGCTGAGATTTGCCTCCAATGGACACCACAGAGGAAGGAATAAAAGTTCCATATTCTTAAGTACCCATCCCACCGTTGGGATCGTCCGCCGAGAAGCAAACCCGCCCCCAAGGGTAGGATGCATAGAAAGACCGCATCCCATCCCAATCGGCTGACCTATAGTGCCAAACACGGCGGCATTTCTATTCGGGATTTAAGAGGACGAGTACGACAATGAGTTTCAATTAAACATATTTATTTCGAAACCTGAAGCGGATGTTTTGTCGATTGAAACAATAGTGTTGATATTATGTAATCTATATGTACACTGACACAAAAGAAAAATTGAAGCTTTGTTTACAGATTTGATAGTTGTTAGAAAGAAAAAGGAAGCAAAACGAAACACTTGGCTTACTTTACTGTACATGGGGCCGTAGCCTCACCTTACCGTATCTGCACTGCTGCGGTGGGCCTACGAGTTCATGTACAGAAATCCTTAATAACAAAGTGGTTCCACTTTGTTATTCATTAGGAGACTATTTGACATTTTTGCACATGTTAGGGTCACGTGAAAATTAAAAGTAAAAATGTAAACACCATTAATCAATCACCGTACAAGAGTCAAAAATCGAATCTTATTGTGTTACTGCAACCCATGGACATCTATAATCAAATGTAAAATGCTGCAGATGTGTTGTCACCTTTGCATGGACATAGTCCAACTTGACACAGACCCGACCTTGTTGAAGCACTGCTAGAATGCGTCGGAAGTTTTTCTTGAGGAGTTCGAGATGCTCTCTCTGAACGTAAAATTTTAAAGTGAGGCAAAACACCCCGTGCCCTTTCCTAGGCGCCCATGCACCTCTGAAGAGTAGAATGAAGTTCTTTACAGTCTGTAATTTGTTAGTTCTTCAACTCTTCATAACCTTCAAATAGAACACAGTAATAGACGCTCTTGTACTTGGTGCCAGAAATGGTTACTTACATTGTAAGAAACACTGATGAATCTTTATGCATTTGTAAATATTCGAAAATTTTCCTGCATAATATTTCTTTAGCGATTAATTGTATCCCTTCCCTATTTATCCCTAATGATGAAATTAATGTTTATGAAACCCATATGAACAGACAGAGAGATGTATTCTCTTATGGCTTATCAATATTGCATCATCTATGTAAAATTCCACCGGTGAACACAAGCGCTAGGGAGGATTTGCCCTAACAAGCGGTTTGGTAGCGGTGGGTAGTAGCGGCTTCTTTGAGTAACGAAACGAATCTATCTATCGAATATCAATAGCGGCTTTTGAAACACTCTATTTTAATAGAGGGTTTGGAAACACTCTATTTTAATAGCGGCTTCAATAGAGTGTTTCACGACGTGTTCAATTGCAAAACGTTGCGACCGTTGTTACCGTTTCGTATAGAATTAGACATGGTGTTAATGGTTAAATTTATTTATTTGTTAAATCAGTTCGCACGGTTTGATAAAAATATCACTTCGAAGTACACTGGCATTACTTCGAGATATTTTTGATAACAATCACATAAAGTTTTAGTATTATTTTTACACTTAGTTATTTACACTAATTACTGTACAATTATTATTATCAACACTAATATATACAATTATATTTAGTTCTTATTTTACTAAAAATATTATTATTGTTGCACAAAAAAGGAAACAAACGCGCCTAAAAAAGTAAAAACAAACCGTGTCATTAAACTTAAACAAAAGACTAATGTAAACCGGGCCAAGGCCACTTAAATTATGGTATTTGAACTATTTTTTGTTAAAAACATGTACACTTACTTTCTCATTTCTAATATCGCATCTATACGAAGGAAATAGAGTCATAGGTCAAATGCAAAAGCACACGCGCTCACTCGACTTTCGACAATCGGTGGTACTTCTACCACAGCGTAAAAAGTCGGTTTTTTTTTACTCATGTGCTTCTACTTCAACAGCCGAAGCCGTCGCCGACGCGTCGCGAAAATAGCCGAATAAACGTTTTGTTACTGATCGCTCGTTCGTGATTCGTGAAACGTGAATCGTGTTACTGAGTAAAACGTCTACTGTAATAGATAGTTTCGTTGCACTGCAATAACCCGCTACTCGCTATTGTGTGAATAGATAGTTTCAGTAACTAGTTACGTTTCGTAACGACCACTCCTACGGTTTGGCGTTCACAGAACTAGACATCTCGCACCTTTGATGCTGCTTGTCGTCGTCGATCTGGGTATGTTACGTCTGACGTAAATGGGACAGCTATATATATCGCTCTTTATCGGTCGCTATGAGACTTCTGGCATTTCGCAGTTACCTTATAAAACACCCGAAACGGATGAGTATTAAATAGAGATCATAGAATAGACGAGAGGCGCCTTACGGTAGCTATATATGTATATTGCAAATAATACAAAATTGTTTATTCAAAAGTCAAATGCATATTATATTATTTTACTACATGTAAATTTGTACAGACTGGTTTCAAGAGCTCTACCTAAAGTGGTTACTGGCTGGACCTCTGAGTCTAGGATTGTTATTTATAGTCTTTAAATACGTGGCAATCGAGCGAATATCATTCTTATGTTAACAACTTTAAGAGCGTGTTACGCGTGATACCTTTATTATACTAATTAGGTAAGCAATGCCGGTTCACGTTCAATGGAGTGTGATGTAATTTAAACCAATGGCTCTCTGTGAACCTTACATTCGTCGGACAACCGGTTGTCTGACCGGTCGTACTTGGTTCACTGTCTTATATCTGTGAGCGTCGTTCGCAATGGGGCGAATTTTGAGATGTTTCATTGTTTTTTTATTAGCAGACAGCACTATGGTCAATTTTAGGGTGCTTGCGAGAGGAATGGCGACTGTCGCGAAGTCGTTTGCCGAGAACGCCGTGGTCTCGGACGTCGTGCCTGTGGCTCCGACCGCACTATTGAAGGTTAGTGGATATCTTATTAATATATGGTATTTTCATCCGAAAGTTTGAATCATGGCTTATACGTGGTAGAGCCATGGTGCAGTTATATTAGTAGTATAGTTGTAGCACGAATGGGTCGGCTCGACCAGGGAAGGACCACGCTCTCACAGAATACCAGCGTTAAATAGTAGCTTTATGCTGCTGTGTTTCATATGGTGAGTTTAGAGAACCGGAAACCATTTTCATTGGAAATGGGGCATTCCATCTTAGTCCTCACGGGTGACAACCCATCTGCATTTTAATTCGTAATCTAGGATACATGTAGGTGTCTATGTGCCACAGCAACCACTTACCATCAGGTGGACTGTGTGTCCGTTTGTCACCCTATCCTATAAAAATACTCTTAAGATGTCGTTAAGTCTCGTTGAGTTACAGTCCTTTGACTTAAAGCGATAGATACAGTGCGAGTTTTGAGTGACAAACTAACTCTGAACTCACCTAAAAATAATAATTTATTACATATTGTACCGTATAGACAAATAACATCAAAAATATTGTTGCGTTGTTCAGCCATGAAGCAAAAGATGCAATAACTTATAGAATATTCTCCTTACCCTATATCTAAACACAGCAGTGCGTTCCTGCTAAGCGGTTGACATAGGATTGAATATAATAAAATAGTTTGTTTTTGACGTAATTTTACGGTAGGTTCATACTGAAATATATTTTTATCACACTTATAATTTTGTCATGAATTTTGAGAACAGGTCATTGTCAGAAAAATATTCTATTACCTCCTTAATACGTCATCAATTTAGATTATTCAGATATTCATTATATATATATGCATATGTACGTATATAATGAAACTTTAAAATTCAGTTTTCACCCACTTCTGGACGTCTGAATAATCTAAATTGATGACGTATTAAGGAGGTAATAGAATATTTTTCTGACAATGACCTGTTCTCACGATTCATGATCACTGGGTGTTGTTTAAGTTTAAACTCTAATATTATTAAAATGTAGAAAGAATCGCGGGACCGTGACTGTTTATGCAATTTATAATTTGAAACAATCGGAGTTCTTACCTTTCGATTGTTTTAATAATACGTTACATTTAACTCAGTTCTTTCATTTCCACGATATTCTTTTGTTCTTGTTGTGAATGCGGTTACAAATCATGATGAAGGTTCAAGTCACGGGTCGGACCAATATCTGTTATTGAAATTTTCTGACAAGAAATTCTCAATAGTTGCCCGAAGTCAGGAAGTTGACGGAAAACACGTAAAGCCGTTGCTCATGCGCCTGATCTTTCTCCGGTCGTGTCGGATTACCGACTCATCAAACTGTGAGAGTGAGGAAATAGAGAGTGCCCCTGTACTTGCGCATACACTCGGGCACTATAATCCTGGCCTGCGCAGATGGCTGGTCTCTGATGAGATTGGTCGCCGTGACCAGAATTCAATGTCGAGGACAATAATGTCCACTGGACTGACTGGCAAAGAAACCGACAGACAGCAAGTCCGCCCATTGTTACCTTGGTTAATAATAAGTAAAAAATCAAATAAGTATTCTTGTGAAGTGGTGGCTTAAGAGAATCCACTACCTTGGAACACTTTGGTATATTATGGTTGTAGATCGGATGGGTCGGCTCGACCGGGGCAAGGACCACGTTCTCACAGAATACCAGCCTAAAATAGCAGTTTAATACTGCTGTGTTTCGCGTAGTCAGTGTAGAGATCCGCAGACCCTTTTTTACTTGTAACGAGGCATTCATTCTTAGTTCTCAGTGGTGACAACGCATCTGCGTTTAGTTTCTTAATCGAGGAAAAATGTAGATGTCTATGGGCCACAGCATCCACTTACCATCAGGTGGACTGTGTGCTCGTTTGTTACCCTTATTCTATATATAAAAAGAACCCCTGCTATAATGAATGAAAGCAAAGTATACAAACTCTCTTCGCATACTCCGCACACGATGTAACTCAATAACAATTTTGGGATTTTGTTAGACCGCCACTACACGGTCAACCGCTATTACACGGACACACTTGCAATGCTGATGATGATGATAACGACGAAAGTTATAGCCAAAATAATATGCTGAACACTGCCTCCTCATATTTCTGAGACCTATTAATGAATTAAAGATCCCTTGTAGTGATGAATATGGTTTTCTGTTTATATTTTTTAATATATAGAAACAGGGTGACACACGACCACACAGTTCACCCGATCGTAAGTGGATGATGTGACCATAGACATCTACATCTATCCTTAGCTAAGAATCAAAATACAAATACATTGGATTTCCTTTATTACGACCTTGGTTGTAGCGACCATTTACCTATAGCGACGTTAAATCTAAGTTCCTTGAATTTAAAGCATACTTTAGTACAAAATTCATGTGGCTATAGCGACTTTGGATGTAACGCCGAGTTCGGGTGTAGCGACTGTTTTTAATTAATCATTTGTAACAAAATCCTAGAAATTCCATGCAGATATTGCGACCGGAGTCGGCCGCCAACGACACAAAGATTTCTTTCTTTCACAAACACTTCTTGTCTTTTGTTTACATCTACATAGATGGTTAGCAATTGTGGGGACCTTTACCTTTTGTTTATAGATATCACCTAAATAGGTAGGGCAGCATGTACCTTTACTGGAGTAAAATTTATGGTTCCATTATAAAGTGATATTCTGAGTAGCATTTTGAAATAGACCAGTGAATATGTGTGCAAATATTTTCAATAATAAATGAATATAAGCTATACATGTGTACCTGTCTGTATCTCTTTACCTTTGCCTGTAACGACTTCGGGATATAACGACAAAAACCGTGTGGTCCCTTCATCGTCGCTATACCCGAAATCCACTGTACGCTGTCATCTCTGAGGACAAATTTGGAATGGTAAAATGCCTCTTATTCAGTAAAAAGGATCTCCGGATCTCTACACCCACTATACGAAATACACTAGCATTAAGCTACTATTTTACGATCTATTTGTCGACCACTACTACAATAGAGCCGCAGCATGGCTCTACCACGTATGAATTTAAAACATAATATTAAAACATTTTTGCATAAATACACGATGTTACAACTGAGCTAACAAAACAAATGAATGCATTTGTTTGTTGGCCTTTTTATATCCATATTTCGTACTTATTTGGCTGGTGTTTGAGATTGCATTGTAAGTCCGTTTCACCTATAAAAAATTACCTGAGGCATCTGCTTTCACAATCGACTCACTAACTAAACAAGTTATTTTGTTCTTCTGTGTATTCGCACCATATTATGTAATGATTCTTTTTTATCACATGTCGACGGTAGTACGGACATATTCATCAGGGTGAACGCACATTAGTCAGCACCGTACGCGCCGCATTTTAGGATTCGTTGTATGAAATCATATGTAACCTCGCACATTTCACCTGCACCGTACGTGACGTATTTTATAAAATGCGGTAGGTATCTGAATATTGAAGAAGGTATGCTAATGACGTCATATAATGCGGCGCGTTCGGCGTGATACTGATACTTGTGTTGCCTAATGTTAACTAAGTGGATTTTCCACTAAAACTGGGGGTTTCGACTACCGTTTTAGTAGAGAAATATTAATTACATTGGCTAGTATGTTTTGTAGTGGTCCGGTAGAATTAAGTTTCAATTAGTGGCAAGATGATCACTCCACCATTAACCCGCTACAAGTTTGGAAATATAATTTTAAGTCATTTCAGGAGTATTTACTTTTACTATGTAGGCAACAATAAATCGTCAGACATGGCATGCATAAGACGATCCATCCATCAAATGCAAATATCTAAAAGTCGTTCATCATCGTCTAAGAAGACTTTATATAACATATAACATTCTCCATACTACTGACTTTTTTAAATTAATATTGTGAAACCAGACCTTCCATTTCTTCTATTTTTTTTTTCTTTCTATGTCAATAAGCAGACTATTACACCTACCTTTGTCTATTATATTGAGTACTTACTTCAATAAAAATGAAATGATACCCACCGTATACACACCTTGAAGGATTAAGTACTAGTCGGGCTTGCATCAACTATGATGTTTTCGCTGCATAGATTCCTTTCTTCATCGGATGATCTAGCATCGGCAGGATGCGCCAACCTTCACTGTGTCGAATTTCCATGGGGACACGAAAAGCGTATTCGAGAGCATTTGCCATGATTTAGTATGACACTGACTACAAATTAGTAGTGAAGACAGGAGAGCGAAGCAACTTAATAACGATACAATCCCCATCGTCTCACCGTTGCCATTTCGTAGGCAAGCGCCGCATGGAGCAGCTTGTAGGGCCGTTCTTCCACCAGAACAGCCATTTGGGATATTAATAATAATAATGTTCCCCTGACCGAATTTCGGCCACGGCGGCCTGCCTCAACGGAGGCTAGCCATCGGCGCAGGACAGGATTATAGTGCCCAAGTGTATGCGCAAGCACAGGTGCACTCTTATTCCTCACTCTCGTAATCCGATGGGACGGTAAACCGACACGACCGGGAGAGAGATCAGGCGCAGAACCAACGGCTTTACGTGCTTTCCGAGGCACGGGGGTGAGTCACCGCCAACTTCCTGACTCCGGGCAGCTACTGAGAATTTCTTGACAGAAAAACTCAATAATTGATTTTTTGGCCCGACCCGGGATTCGAACCCAGGACCTCATGATCAGCAGTCGCACTACTACAACCACTAGACCAACGAGGCAGTCATTAGGGATATTATATGGCTAATCAAGCCACTAAGCCGGATTGAGATGATTACGAATTAGCCCATATTTTATTAAAGATAAAACGGAATAGGAGGTATTACCTATTTATCATTAAAGCTAATAATAGTTGATGTTGATGGATTGAAATAAAATACGGCTTATTATCCCGTCACGGCGATAGCATTTTATTAACAGACAGTGATACTAAATTATATAATTTCATATCAGATTTATTGTTGCTGATGTACTAGTATCTAAACAAGTCATAGAAAATAATTGGCAAAGGTATACACATGACGATTTTCTGTTCGTTCATAATAAATGAACATCACATTTAGCGCGTAACATATGGTTGACTTGAGAACCTCTTCCTTTTAAGTTGAATTAAAATGCTAATTAGGATAATAAATCGATCGAAAGGCGCATATATCGAATGTTCGATTTATAGTCGCCACGTTCTTGAAAGTCTTGAAAATCTTGAAAGTCCACTATTAGGTACCATAGCCCCTCTTTCTACTATGCTATTACGTTCCTAAATAAAATAATTAATTTGGACAGTCGACGCACCTTTTTTACCAGACTACCAAGGAAGGGTTGTGATTTTCCCGCGTATCTTGTATGTATACTTGTTTCTAAATTTATTTATTACCTCGTATCTTCTAAACGGCTGAATGGATGTCGACAGTTAAGGTAATCGTTATATTCGTCTTAAAACCCAAGTGTCCTTATACTTATAGAATAAAAATTAACTAAATTTATCGAATAGGATATCAAAATAAAGTAAATTGAATTTTAAAATTAATTAAATAAAATTAAAATAAAAAATACACAATTGCAAATTATAAACCGAAAGAAAATTAATGGGTTCCGTTTGCTATAGTCTGTTTAACCGAAGTAGAGTTTACTTTGTTTATAGCTTATTTTAATTTTGTTTTCTATTCTCAATCTTGTTTCGGTCTTTTTAGTGCATTAATTTTATATTTGTCTTTTTTGCATATTTTTTTTTAATTATTTAGTTTATATACTAAGACGCTTGGTGTGTCTTGGTAAAAAGGTGTGCCGAACCTCGATTTTTAAATTTAAATTGTATTGAAATAGTGAGGTAGGTTTGCACGACTAGTCCAAGATTAATATAAAGATGTTTTTTATAGCATAAGAGTGACTAGCGAGCACACATCTCACCTGATGGTAAGTAGAAACTGTGGCCTATAAACATCCACATCAATCCTGGATTAAGAATCAAAATGCAGATAAGTTGTCAACCCTGGGAGCTAATATGGGTTCGCTTCCAGTAAAAAGGGTCTCCGGTTCCCTACACTCACCATACTAAACACAACATCATTGAGCTGCTAACACAACTAATTAATGCAGGAACGATTTCAGTGTACAGAATTGACGGCCATCTCTCAACTTTTCAAAGGTGCAAATCAATAGATAAGTACTTGATTGTCTAGATTAGTATGGTCTAAATAATTGAGTTCTTGTTCGATTGTCTAGTCTCCAAATTAGTTCACTAAACTCCTACAACTCAAAGTTCCGTAACAAAGAAGGTAATAAGGAGGCTCTACTTAGTCTACTTTTTCGATTCATTCTTCATTCACTACAGCTTGTCATAAGTCCACTGCTGAACATGGCAACCCTCATAAATTGCCTCATATTTGCCATATTTGAAAGAGCTATGAAAGAAACTGATGGAAAATTTGGGATGTGCAAGCGGGTTTTAGAAAGGGAATGGGGTGTACAGATCAAGTCTTTTCCATGCGCATGATTGCGGAGAAGTTTTTGGCCAAAAACCAGAAAGTTTTTTGTGCATTCATGGACTTGGAAAAGGCTTATTATACTCATATGGGTTGAGCGCTGGTTTGATACAGGCATTAAGGTCTCTTTATAGGGACTCTAGTGCTTGTGACAGGATCAATGGGGTCTATTCGGACTGGTTTGGCATCCAAAAAGTTGTCAGACAGGGCTGTGTAGCTTCCCCTTGGCTGTTCAACCTATTTATGGACAGGTGTTTGCATACTTTGAAAGATGAAAAATGTGGGTTAAGAGTGGGCGAGTTAACCGTCAAATGCCTTTTGTATGCCGATGATCAAGTCATATTTGCGTCATCGGCGGCTGAGTTGCAAATGATGGTGACATTAATGAACTGGGCATTCAAAGAAAGGGGAATAAAAGTGAACGCAAGTAAGACGAAAGTGATGGTTTTTGAAAGAGAAGAAAGCAAAACGGTATGTGAAATAAGAATAGAAGGAGAGTTAATTGAGCAAGTGGATGAGTTTGTGTATTTAGGATGTGTATTTAGCAGGGATGGTAGATATGATAAGGATATAGAACGACGAGTAAATGCAGGGAATAGAGTGAATGGGGCACTACACTCTATTATGAAGAACCAGAATGTGTCAAAATACGCACGTATGGGTAATTCATAATGCTGTGTTAGTCCCTACTTTAATGTATGGTAGTGAAAGCTGGGTGTGGCAGAAGAAGCACGAAAGTAGAATAAATGCTGTAGAAATGCGGTCTTTAAGGAGTATACTAGGGTTGAATCTGAATGACAGGGTGAGAAATTGCGTGATAAGAGATAAATGTGGTATGCAAGATGATGTTGTGACCAGGATTAAGAAAGGAATGCTTCGGTGGTTTGGTCACGTAGAAAGAATGAATGAGGAAAGAGTGACAAAGCAAATTTATATGGCAGATGTGAACGGCAGACTCGGGATGGGACGCCCTAGAAAAAAGTTTATCGACCAAATTGGCGATATTTTGAAAATGGGCCACGTTAGAAGTACCCTTAACGGACGAGCATGTATGCGTAGATGTATGGATGTAAAGGAGGCGAAAGAGGTATTTCAGGATCGTGCCAAATGGAAGTCCGTAGTCTCTGCCTACCCATCTGGGTGACAGGCGTGAGTGTTTATGTTATGTGTGTATATTTGCCATAGGTGCCATGCTTTACAAACGCGATAGCAACTGCAGTTTTTTGATTCTAAATCCTGTTTTATTTCCCTTAGTCTCCTTTCAAACGACTCGCATGGAACGAAATTGGGTGGATTCTCTCACGCCGCCCCCACTTGGCGTGAATTCGATAGCTTACATGATTTGTTCATTTCGCAATGTATTTGTACGGTAGTGCCATCTTTTATCAATGATATGAAGTAGATAATATTATGTGGTGTAATTAAACTAAAATTGGTTTATATTTCAGGTGACCTATCCAAGCGGAGTTGAAGTGAAGGAAGGCAATGAGCTCACTCCGACACAAGTGAAGGACCAGCCCACTGTGTCGTGGGACGCGGAGCAGAATGCCTTCTACACCGTCGCTATGACTGGTATGTGTGTATCAGTAACTTTCTCCACATTTCTCTTATTTTAAATTTTACCTTTATACAGGGTGGGGATGGTGGTAGAGCCATGGTATCAGGGTCTAAGCCTGTGGTCGTCATACTGCGGCCCGGCCTGGCCGGACGGTATTTGTGCGGCCCGCGACAAATTAAACAATTTTAGGAAATGATATCAAAATATCATCTAATAAATACATCAGGTAAACTAAATCGAAGTACGCGAGTAGTTATAAACTTCCTCCTGCAACATGACTACAACAAGTGACTGTTACAAAAGCATCTTACCAAGTTTGTTACATGTTTGCAAAAAAGATGAAACCTTTCACTGATGCTGAATTAACAAAGGAGTGCATGTTAACTGTTTTTCAGACTTTGTTTCAAAATTTTTCATATTATAAACAAATAATGACAGAAGGCTTACGCTTTCTGAATCAACCTGCCGACGCGGAGTTGAAGATATATCAAAAAACGTTTGAGGCCGTAATTGATAGGTTGAAAAACTGCAAATACTTTAGTCTTGCGTGTGATTCTAGTACGGATATATCTTCTATGTCTCAGTGCTCACTTTTTGTGAGGTACTGCACTATGGACGGAATCATAGAAGACTTTTTACCCGTCATAACTGTGAAGGGCCATAGGAGAGGTTGTGATTTTATAGACGCTCTGAAATAATTTGTCCAAAAATACGGTACACCTGTGAGTAAATTGATATCAGTGTGGTGTACTGATGGTATTCTCTCAATGTTGGGCGCAAATAATGGTCTTATTGCCTTAATGAATAGAGAGTGGAATCTACATAATTTGATGCTCATTCACTGTTTACTGCATCAAAAAAACCTTGGCATGTCAAATTAATAAGTATAATTTCGAATAATAAATTTAAGGACTTAATGTATAATGTCATAAACATTATCAATTTCATTCGCGTGCGTAAATTAAATCTTCGAACATTTAAAGACCTACTTGAGGAATTACAAGCTAATTTTGCAGATACCGTGAAGTTTAATAATCTTAATTTGGAGTTGCAAGAGCCTAAAAAGATAATCGGAAAAATGACGAATAAAATATTTGCATTTGAAGCTAAAATTCAATATAAATGAGGTCCAAGCTGGAGACTTTTCTAATTTTCCAACCGTTGCAGCTATGCAACCAGAGGTGTCTATTTCCGATAGTATTTACCAGGAAATGGTTTCCTACTTAAAGGAATATTTGTCTGAAATTCAAAAAAGATTCAATGATGTGAGAAATATTAAAAACTGTTTTATTCTTGTAGAAAACCCTTGGCATTTTGAAGACAATGATGTGATTTTATTTGGACAGTTTCGATTTCCTAATACTCAGTTGATGAATGAACTCATTGAATTAAAGTACGACACAAACATCGTGAAAAGAATGAACGCATTGAATTTTGGAAAAATGCTTAATAACTACAAAAGTTTCCGAGGCTGCGCACAATTTATTTTGACAGTATTTTCTTCGACATATCTTCGTGAGCTTCGTATTCCAAAATGAACTTCCTGAAAAATAAATACTGCAATCATCGCCTTTCCTTTTAGAAGACAATGAGAATTGTATGTAGTCCCAAAGAGGCCAAACATAGAAGATACAATTGAAAAAGTAACACACTGTAACACTTAAATTATATGATACCAATAGTTAAAAATATCTAAATAATAATATGCTTTTGAACCTAAGTTAAAATGAAAAACACTGATATACTTGTTTTACTACAGGTGCCTGCATACCTAGGTAATATAGGTAATATACCTATGTTGTACTGTGTTACGGTCGCCTTTATATTGCGCCGCCTTGGCATGTGCCGCCTCTTGTCAAAGGATGCCGCATAATTAAAAAATATCATAATAATTGCCGCCACGTCTGGTCTACTGGTTGGTGGTCACCTCCCACCGGGTGCCCGTTGTTTCGATTACCATCCGACACAAATAGGTGTCTGTATGATCTACTAATATTTGTTTCGTGTGTTCTTATTGTGTGTTCTTTGTATGCTAGTTAGTTCTTTGTGTTGATAAATGAAGACTTCACATTAGTCACAGGTATCAATTGCCATTAAAATCTAGGGGCCAATTGGGTTGACAGCTCACAAAAAATATGTCAATTGATTGATGGCGTCAACTAAACAATCCAAGAATGTGCGGCCCGCTGTGATACCTCACATTCTCCTGTGTGGCCCTTGACCAGATAAGTGTGACGACCACTGGTCTAAGCACTCGTAAATTTCACAGTATACGTGCAGTCCAAGCTCGATACTGCCGGCACAAAAGAAATTGCTAATTGCAATTGTAAGTACTGATATACAACGTAGTCGGTGGTGAAGCAAAAACTGCCTGACTGAGCATTAAGAAGTATTTTATCATTATGTTTTATTAGCCCTAAAATCCTTCTAATTAAAAGAGCAGCTGTGGGACGGGAAGGATGTAGTTTAGTTTAGTTTAGTTTGCGACGGGCTGTTTTCCGCAACTCCACGTCTATGCGCGTATTTTGCGTGTGGGCAGGAATAATGTGATTATTCAAGCAATGAGATCTCCCCGAAGAAGCTCAACAGTCCCTTGATGTTGCATGCAACTTCAGGGAGTGATCCCGGCGTGCCGAGATGTTTAGCCCTGTACGTAGCGACCTCCGGACATTTCAGTAGCATGTGGGCCGCCGTTTCTTTCTCCCCCATACATGCCCTGCACAGGGGACTATCTGTAACACCTATAGTAAATAAATGTTTGTTAAAGGTGCCATGTGCTGTGATAGCATTTGTTACTATCCTGATCTGCGGCTTGTTCAGTCTCATTAGAACTTTGGTTAAGCGACTGTTTATTACAGGTAGGGCCTCCCTAGCTTGTCTACAGTCTACTAGATTTTTCCAAAGCTGAGCGTGTTGATTAGTGAAGTGTCTACGTACCATTGAACGAACGTTACCAAAGGGGATTGGTATGATTGGTTCTGGCCCTATAGTGGCCAGAGCCGATCCTCTTCTGGCCAGTTCGTCCGCTGCATCGTTGCCTCTGGATCCACTGTGTGCCTTTATCCACAGCAGAGTTACATTGTTGTGTTTACATACCTCATTTAATCGTTGATGGCATTCATATATTAGTCCCGAGTTCACCCCATTGCAACTCAGAGCTTGTAGTACCGCCCTATTGTCGGTCAGTATTCTGATGGGGAAGTCATTAACCTTCCTAGCATCTATTGCTATGGCCGCTTGAATGATACCCATACATTCCGCCTGAAAGACCGTGTTATAGGTACCCAGCGGTGTGCATATGTGAATATTGAGGTCTTCAGAGAAAGCTCCAGAACCTACACCTTCATTTGTTTTAGAACCATCGGTGAAAATTCTAAGCTCTTTTGGGCTTAATCCTTCCAGCTGGCTGTTTTCATTGTTGTATCTTGTATTTCTTATCGAAAACGAATTGTTTAGGAATCCTATCGTATTTGGCTTGTAGGATATTAATTTCTGAGGGAATTCTATCAATTATGCCTGTATGAGGGACACTATTCTTACTCCAAAGATTTAGGGTCTTGAGTCTGATGGCAGCTAAAGTCGCTTCTTGTTGTATATGTAGATGAAGCGGAGTTAGCTCCAGCATCGCTTCCAAGGCTGCTGTTGGCGTAGTTCTTATGCAGCCTGTGGCAGCCATACATGCCAGTCTCTGGTAGCGCTGAAGCTTCTTAATTGTGGTGGCTTCATTTGTCTTGGTCCACCATACCAGAGCGCCGTATGTGATCATGGGCCGAATTACAGTTTTGTAAAGCCACAGTATGATTTTTGGCGTCAGTCCCCATCTTTTGCCAATCATGTTTCTGCATTGCCAGAAAGTTATACTAGCTTTGTTGATTTTGTTTTCTATGTATTTATTCCAGTTAAGTTTGCTGTCCAAGGTAAGACCTAAATATTTTACCTCAGAGGATAGCTGGAGTTTTGTGCTGAAAAGACTTGGAAGATGATAGTTATTCAGCATTCGTTTTTGTGTGAACATTACTAAAACCGTTTTATTTGGGTTGACGGTTAATTCTTATTCCCTGCACCATCTCTCCACTATACGGAGAGCCGCTTGGGTCAGGTCGCACACTATGCTTGCTGTCTTTCCCGAGACCAGTATTGTCAGGTCATCAGCATAACCTACTGTATAGAAGTGATTAGTATTTAATTTGCTGATGAGTTCATTAATGACCAAATTCCACAGGAAAGGTGAGAGAACCCCACCCTGCGGGCAGCCTTTCTTAATTAGGATTGATTGAGATTCACCAGCAATCATTATTATTCGTGTACTGAGCATGCAAACTATCCAGTCGATCAGTGCCAGTTCAACTTTATGTCTACTGAGTGCACCTTTTATGCTGGAGAAGTTTGTTCTGTCAAAAGCACCTTCTATATCTATGAAGGAACCTAGACATATTTCTTTGTTTTGGATGGCCTCTTCAATCTTTGTAATTACCTGATGAAGTGCCGATTCTGTTGATTTGCCTAGACTGTAGGCGTGTTGCTTGTCGGGAAAGATGTAACTTTTAACAGGTTTGAACTGATGTATCTCTAGCTGACTGCTCTGTAAGGCCTTTACTGGTAAAAATATCATAGAACACGCTTCAGTTATAGGCGGGTCTATTATTTTTAATTTTTATAGACCGTTGTAATGTTAGCTGCCACTTACGTCATACTTATGAACAGGTGCTGCTTGTTGTGAGTGCAATAGAGAACATTTTTCATGTACTGATGGGTCTGTTTTCGTTATACATTCTGTATATACTAAGCTATTGTATTATTTATTTTAAAACATGACAACAAGTCAAATTAAAAAAAAAATGTATATACCACTACTTATATTCTTACACTATCATCGGATTGTGAGTTATGTTCAAAATTTTAATTACTAAATACGACACGAATTAATAAAACGTGGTAATAATAAAAACGTGATAAAAGCATCATATCATGACATGACCTGCAAAGTTATTTTCTGTTTTTCTCTGGTCAGAGGAATCTTTCGAAAGAGTAGTAGATTTATAGAAAAAACCGAAGAAATAAACATGTTTCATTTCATTTTCAATATATTTCATTTATGTATCGTCGTCTTTCTTCTTCCAGATCCCGATGCGCCGTCCCGTAAGGAGCCTAAGTTCCGCGAATGGCATCACTGGCTGGTAGGCAACGTTCCTGGATCAGATGTTTCCAAGGGCGACGTCCTCTCCGCATATGTGGGCTCCGGACCACCACCAGGCACCGGCTTACACCGATACGTCTTCCTTGTCTACAAGCAGCCGGACAAGATTGCATTCGACGAGAAGCGCCTGACTAACACGTGAGCAGTTTGATTTGAAAAACCTATTTGTCTAACCTTCTCTGAAACGATGCCAGCGAATTTTCGTTTTTGATAAGCGAGATCACAGTCCTTCTGATAATGATTTTTTATATTAACGAAAACATTACACATTCTAAAAACTATTTATACGGATTTTATCGCGTTTAATTCACTTATTTTAAATGGTCCCACTGTGACCATGGGTACTGTAAAGCACCCAAAACGTCGGTAATTTAGAATAAGTTAATTAAACGCGATGAAATCCTTATACATAAATGGATTTATCTAGTCCTTCTGATGGTAAGTGGCCACAGCAAGTGTTCAAACTATATAATACTGTTACGCGCCTTAGTCGACGGCACTAGCGCCATCTAGTCTCGAACCGAAGAAATTTTTATTGTCACGAACCTCAAGCTCGTAACAATACATTCCCCCTATGAGGCAACCTATGGGGGAGGATCATCTTCACCTATGGACTTTCGTTAGGTATTCGTGTTTTTTTTACGCGAGCACACAGTCCACCTGATGGTATGTGGTTGCTGTGGCCCATAGACATCTACATCTATCCTTGATTACAAATGCAGATGCATTGTCACATGTGAGGACTAAGATGGAATGCTTCTTTTCCAGTAAAAAGAGTCTCCGGTTCTCTTCACTCACAACACGAAACACAACAGCATTAAGATACTATTTTACGCTGGTATTCTGTGAGAGCGTGGTCCTTCCCCGGTCGAGCCAACCCATACTACCATAATAGCTGCAGTGTGGATCTACCACGTATATAATTTACACAATACATAAAAACTAAATGTCACACGTCAAAACGAAGTCAACCATGATTCACTCCAAAGTTACACAATCGCAATGCTTATAAATATCAGTTTGTTAACGCACTGATGATAACAATTAACTAGTGACGACGAAGCTATTTTGGGTTTCTCATTAGTGGAGAGGATTTACCTTCACCACGATGCTATCATTTCTAAGAGGCAGGAAGAGTTTTAGAGGAAGGAAATTATTTTCAATTTATTTATTTCAGAGACATGGTACAATAAGTTGCTGCATATAACTTTTAAGATCATTTACATGTCTTACCAGTATCGGCGTAGAAAGAGCACTATCAATTCTTAGTTTTTTAAAATGTCAGCAATAAGATGTCAATATAATAATATTATGTCAATCTAATTACAATAATTACGGCACATAATTAACGAATTGTGAAATATAATTTCAATTATTCCAAATAGTAATTGCATACATCTGAAATTAGTAAAACATTGACATTTTTATGACTAACAGGCCTTTTTTTAAATAAATAATATTTCCATCTCTATTGTAAGTTGTTCAAGGCAAAGTTATTCATAATTCATAGATTTAGGAAAAAAAAAACTTAATTGAATCAATATACATATAGTGTCACTTTCCTACCTACTCAATTTTATATGTCAGAAAATCTTTTACGGAGTAAAAACAATGGTCAATAAGCCATTGAATTAAAGTTCTTTTAAATTTATTAATATTTAATACTTTTATATTTTCTGGCAGCTAATTAAATATTTTTATTGCCATACAAAAACAACTTTTGCTATACAAGCCTTTGTTGTGGTACATATAATTTACCTATAAATCACAACACTTTATTGTGTGATAGAAATATGTTTGGATGCTTTTTCACAAAAATACTTATTTCTAGTATGTACAGACAAGGCAACGATAGAATGTTTAGTTTTTTAGGTTTAGGTTTAAAGAGTTTATCATCTCAAAAAAGAACAAATATTCACCACTTATGTGAGACTTAAAAATAACATAATTGGTAAAAATAATACATTTAAATACGGTGACTTATATGAATAAAGCTACATAAATATATCGAAATTAGGATTAAAAAAGCACTGTCTTTAAATTAATGTTTGACAGTGCTTTTTAATTTATCTTTAAATTTTAAAAACGATTTTTCATGAAATACCTCATTCGGTAGGCTGTTGTACAATAGCGCTCCCTCAAACTGAATAAGTTTTAGTCCTAGCTTTTGATAAATGCATTTTATGTTTGTTTCGTGTACAGTTTTTATGTGATTTCGTTTTAAAACTAATTTGGGTGTGTATGGAATCTAAGAGAATTTTTCTGACTAGTATGCACGTTTTTATTTGTATAATTGACTTATGGATAATGTATCAGTTTTTTTATAGAGTTCTTTAGTAGGAAAGCAGTAGTCAAGTTGGAATAAGACTTTTAATAATTTATTCTGGGATATTTGAAGATCCTTTATATTAGTTTTAGATGCACTTCCCCATATCTCTATTAAATATTCTAGTAATGACTTTCCTAGTGAGTTATAAATAATATTTCGAACTTTATAAGGTATACAATGTGTAGATCTGCGCAAAGCTCCTGTCAATGATGTTATTTTCGACTGCAGGTAATCTAAATGACGAGCTCATGTTAATTTAGAATCTAAAACGAGACCAAGATATTTTTCTGATTCAGACTTTTTAAGTTCTTGGTTATTTATTGTTAAGGGATCGACTTTAAAAACGTTTTTGTTTTTCGCAGTAAAAACCATGTAAGAAGTTTTTGTTACATTTATAGTGAGCAGATTGTACCGAAACCATTCACTCAGTGTATTTAGATCAGCTTGTGCATCTGATATAATCTCTTGAATTGAATCTCCAAAATAAAATATTTTTTTTTTAAATAATGGTGTACAATTTTCATTAAATTCGACACTACATAACGATCTTACACATTTTTTTTTTCAAAGCAAAGCAGAAACCAATTTGTCTAGTTTATTTATTAATTTTATAATATAATCTTTCCAATTTAAATTTTTGTCTAGAATTATGCCTAAAACATTGGTTGCATTTACTTGCTGAATTTCTTTTATAATAATATTGTTATTATTGCTATAGGTGTAATTACATGTTTGTAATTATTTTAGTTTTATCAACATTTATTTTTAGATTTTTGCTTTCCAACAAATTTATAGCATTATTTAATTGTTCCATGGCTAATGATTGTATTTCATTTTCATTTTTACATTTTATGATAAGCTTTGTATCATCTGCGAATAATATGTACTCCTGACTAATTGCCGTTGGTAGGTCGTTTATGTAAAGCAAAAAGAGTGATGGAGCAAAAACCAATCCTTGTGGCGTACCGCAATTATTATTTATTAACTCAGATTTAAAAGTTACTTTCATGTTGTTCATTGTTTTATCGATATCCGTACATTGCTAGCAATTTGATAAATAACTCTGTATCCTGTCTCTTATGCCGTATTTTTCAAGCTTTTTGATTAAACGTTTGTGGCAAACATGATCAACTGCTTTGCTCATGTCTAAAAATATAGATGCCACTGACATTTTGTTATTTAGTGCTTCAAAGATTTTTTTTACTAAATGAAAACACGCTGATTGATAAGAAGATGATATATTATTTTTGTCTAAAATGTTTGTAATTTTTTTCACTATAGCCTTCTCGAAAACTTTAGAAAGTATCGGTACAAGCGTTATTGGTCTGTAGTTACCCATATAAGTACGATCACCTTTTTTATGTAACGTTTATGATAGATATTTTTATGCGTTCCGGGAAAACACCTTGCTCAAACGATCTATTTAACACACATAACAGTACATTTTGTATCTTATTCAAGGATTTAATGTTGATTATAATATCACTTTCATTAACTGTCGTAAGAAATATACTCTTTACTTCTGTCTTAATGTATTTTAAGTGAGTCATGTATTCATAGTCAGTGTCTTTTTTTGGTATTGTAAATTTAGTAAAATAATTGTTAAATAGTTCACAGATGTCAATAGCATTATTATAAATAATGTCATTATTTTTTATTTCTTCAATTTCTTTTGCGTCATTATTTACATTTGTATTATGTTTAATTATTTTTCATAGTGCCTTACACTTGTTTTTTGACTTCTTTAAAAATTTATTATTAGAAGTTATTATTATGTATACCGATTATAATTATATTAATGTGTTGAAAGCGTTTTAAAGCTGCCGCATATTCGACGAGTACGCTAGTTTGGTTAGAATCGTTTTCACCTGCGCATAATAAAATATAATTCTGTGAGGAATCTTCTATCTTGTTACATTCTTTTAGAATTTGTTCAGAGCTGGCAAAAGGCTTAATGATAGAATTAACAATGAATTTTTCATATCTTGTATTGGTTCTTGAATATAGCAACTTTGACGCTAAACCGGCACATAGCTGTCCACCCAAAATATATATTTTTTACATTAGAGAAATATATCTTGGCGGATTTTTCACATATACTTGAGACGTTACTTTTCGTGGTCGATCACATCGCAGGATAAATCAGAACTTAATTTTGCAATTAACAAATTCATTGCGGTCGACGAGTATCGAAATTTAAGACTAATTATTACCTACACATGACTTAAGAAATGAGCTATGCAAACTATTTGAAGTTTTTAATGTTAATTATAAGTTATTGATTACAGTTCCGCTGACGGGCGCGGTGGTTTTTCGATTGCCAAATTTGCGGAAAAATACAATCTTGGCAACCCAGTCGCCGGCAACTTCTACCAGGCGGAGTATGACGACTATGTACCCTTGCTCTACAAGCAACTTGGCGAATAAACATAACATTGTATTGTGAGCCCTGGATTCATAGCATTGTGGCTATATTAAAGACTGAATTTAGTAGCTTCGAGTGAAGTTGTGCTTTATAGCCAGTTAAAGTAAATAAATGTATTCAGGGTTACTAAATTAAAAAAAGGCATTTAAAAAATCTACTGATGTTATCAGTGGTTTTAGATTTCTTACATTCGTACTTGGATTGGTTTTTTTTCTTAGATTGTATGAAAAAGTGTTTATCGTAACAATTACATCACTATACACATAAGAAGTTTGTTTTATTTGCCCAATCCATTGTGTAGATTTTTGTTTTATTGGCGGACATCCCAAGCTCTCAAATCAACCGCTAGTTATAAACTAAAACATTGTTATGACTGAGGGAAGAAATATAAAATCTATATTCTATATTATAATGCATTATAATGAAAAAATGCTGTGAAATTGCGGTCATTAAGGTGTATGAATCTGAATAACAGGATGAGAAATTGTGTGATAGAGGAAAGTGTGTTTTGTTGGGAGAAGAGGCAATGTAAACAAAAACCAATTATTAAAATATATTGATTACTTCAATACCTTAAATGTACATAAAATTATCTTGTTTACATTGCCTTATATACAGGGTTGCCCACAGGAGAATAAAATGAGATGATTTAAATTTATTAATGAATAATTTGTCACGTAACAATAATTTAAATTTAATAGATGTTAATAATTTAATTAAGAATTTTTTGACTACAGATAGCTATTACCTATCCAAATATAATTTAAGACAGATAGCAAATGTGCTATCTTATTATTTATATATTAAGTCAGCCAAGGACTAGGCTACCCAGACATCTGGTACTATTGAAAATCATAATGAATTGACATGTAATTTGGAATCAGTTCCAAGTAATTTAAATTAAAAATGAGACAATAGAGGTAATCTCTAGCAGTTATAATAATTTAAATAATTTAGAATGTAGCTTACAAATCCCTAATAGTTGCAATTGTATTGCTCCACAAAATGATAATAAAAATTGTTTACACCTGGTGCCTCAGTATGGTGATCAGATTTGGTGCACAAGGCATGATAGGCAAAGAGCTAGAAATTGAATTGTTCTTAAATAATAATTTAATGTTTAACTTTATCACCAGGTGGTCAGTTCTTTCAATAGAGAAACGGTTTTAAGAGGTGAGTTTTTTATAGGAAAAGTGTGACAAGCGAGCACACAGTCCACTTGATGGGTAAGTGGTTGTTGTGGTCTGTGGACATCTACATCTATCCTCGTTTGCGAATCAAAATGCAGATGCGTTGTTACCCGTGAGGACTAAGATTGAACGCCTCTTTTCCAGCAAAAAGGGTCTCCAGTTCTCTACACTCACCATACGAAACAGCAGCATTAAGCTGCTATTTGACGCTGGTTTTCTGTAAGAGCGTGGTCCTTCCCCGGTGGAGCCGACTCATTCGTGCTACAACTATACAATTAATATAGCTGCAATTAAGGACTAATTTATAACATGGTAGAGCCATCTACCATGTTATAAATTAATCCTTAATTTTATCTAGTAAATTATTATCATGTAAAGATATTGTGAGCCTCTCTGTTGAGCGAACTGTAGAAATGGCATGTGTTGAGTTTGAGCACCTCATTGTTGTGAGCGTTTACAGACCCCCATGTTTTTTATATTATACTTTTGAAAAAATTATGGAGGAAGTCTTCACTATAAATCTATTGTAATATGTTGGGACTTTAATATCAATCTCCTAGGAGCTTCCTGCACCAATATTAAATTTAGATCATTGTTTACATCTTATGGTCCTTTTAATTTATTTTTGGAGCCAACGCGTATTGCTGAATCTAGTGTAAACATATATAGATAACATTTTTACAAATTTTAAGCCGTTCAATAAATGTATAATTCAAAAATTGAGCTCTGATCACTGTGTGGACGATTAGTTTCGTTACCTTTTGTTCACAAAGAGCAAGTAGATAAAAAAGTTGTGTTTGTTCCAGTAAATGCACGTCACTTGGAGAAGTTTAGAAATAACATAGTAAAGAAACTTCCATCACTTTCATACCAAAATAATCCAGATTTTTTGTATGGAACGTTATTTAAGCTTATTTGCAATGAATTTAATAATAATACTTTTACTTCTAAAACATTCTACTTGAACAAGCATTTAATGAATGGGCGATAGTAAGAGTCCATAAGAGTAGACGAAGGTTATATGAACTATACAATGAAAGGTCGTATAATCCTAGCGTAGAATTTCGGGAATATGTAAAAAAATATTCCAAAATATTTAAAATAGTGTGCTCCATAGCCAAGTCATTCTAATAAAATTAAAATGACATGGAGTATAATTAATAGTGAAACTGGTAAGGTCAACTCTCGTAATTCAAATAAATCAGATCAGGACGTTGCAATGGTTTTTGAGAAATATTTTACTGATATTCCGATCTTAATCACTAAGTCACTGAATTATTCTCCTGCCGTCGCCGAATCATTCATCATCATCAATACAGCCCTTCACAAGTCCACTGCTGAACATAGGCCTCCCCCAAGGTATGCCACAAAGCACGGTCCTGAGCCACCTGTATCCATCGATTTCCTGCATGTCTTACCAGGTCTTCACTCCATCTAGTGGGGGGTCGCCCTACACTTCGCCTACCGGTACGAGGCTGCCACTCGAGAACCATTCTTCGATTCCCTATAACCTAGTCGGACTATTTGCCCCAGGTAAACGTACTCGTCAACAACTTCGAGCTTAGTGCCCCCAACAACTACCGGCATGTTTAATGTCCATGTCACACCTATGCCGAATCATTACTTAAACAAAATGTAAATGCGTGTACAAAAAATTTTAAATTTCATAAAGTGTCATCAAAAGATATTATAAAATATTTTAAGACTATTGATATTAAGAAAACCGCCGATCTGTGGGGGATTTCCGTTAAAGTTATTGCGTCTATAATAGATACAATCGCACCTCAACTATCAATTATTTTTAATGCATAGTAAAGTAATACCTTTATTTAAATCTGGTAGTACATTGGATCCCGCTAATTTTAGACCTATTTCTGTACTGCTAACACTTAGCAAAATTTTTGAAAAAATTATTCTTGATTAAATATTAAATTTTTTAATGTAAATAATTTACTTCATAAAAATCAATTCGGTTCCACAAGGCGTCGCTCGACAACTGATGCTGGTGTTGAGCTGATCAAATATATCTCTAGTGCATGGGAGAATTCACAGGATGCTTTGGGTATATTCTGTGACCTATCCAAAGCCTTCGATTGTATTCACCATTAACATCAATCAGGAAACTTCAACACTACGGTGTAAGAAGTGGTGGTCTTAAATTAATTATTTCATATTTAAGTAACAGAACGCAAAAAGTTGTCATTAATAGGATGAGTTCTTCCGGGTCGGTTGTACATATGGGCGTGACTCAGGGCTCAATTCTCGGCCCCTTTCTGTTTCTTGTATATATTAATGACTTACCTTAATGATAACCATGATATAGTATTATTTGCTGATGATACTTCATCAATTTTCTCAAATTAAAATGACAGTTATTAAATTATGATAATTATGTAGCTAAGTTAGTCAATTGGTTTAATGTTAATAATTTGCATTTAAATCGAACTAAAACTAAATGCATGAAATTCGTAACTCCTAATGTCAAACATGTACCACCATTTTTCTTGGAATCACACTAGACGCAAAGCTTCAATGGCTCCCCCACATATCAAAACTAGCTAGCAGACTTAGTTCTGCAGCATATGTTGTAAAAAGATTAGAACTCTTACCAGTGTTGAAACACCTAGAATAGTTTACTTTAGCTATTTCCATAGCATTACGTCGTATGGTATTTTGCTATGGGGACATGCGACTAACACTGAAATTATATTTGTTTTACAGAAGAGGGCCATTAGAGCAATATATAATTTAAAACCAAAAGAGTCGCTGAGATAAAAATTTAAGAAAATTAATATATTAACTCTGGCCTCTCAATACATTTATGAAAACTACTTAACGTACGTTACGTATATACACATAAATAAAAGTACCTAGTTTTACAAAAATAAGCGATATTCATTCTGTAGATACTAGCCCAAGCTAGTAATATCAATTACTCGACTCCACCGAGTCAGTAATTCATTCTTGGGTCGATGTATACGCTTTTACAATAAAATCCCAGAAATTATACAAAATTTGTCATACACAAACTTCAAAAATTTTATTAAAGTAAGTTTGTATAAAAAGGGTTATTATAATATAAAGGAATTTATGGGTGATAATCCCTGGGAAGGTTGATCGCTACCAAGCTATTTCTAATTTGTTTTGTGTTGTTAATTGTAACATACATGAATGTAAGCTATTATTTGAATAAAAAATAGTCCCGCTGGGTTTCTTGCTGGTTCTTCTCAGGACAAAGGTATTTTTTGCAAACCTGTGGTAAATGAAAAAGGTGACTTTCAATAAGTATTGTTTATAATCTATATTGAATAAAAAATTCTGTTTCTGTTTGCAGGATATTATCTTGATTAAATTTTGAATATTATCCTGTTGTGACTTTCCTGTTGTGTTAAGAAAGAAATGCTTCAGTGGTTTGGTCATGTAGAAAGAATGAAATGAGAAAAGAGTGAGAAAGCAAATTTATGTTGCAGAAGTGAACGAAAGAGTCTGCAAAGGATGCTATAGACGAAAGTTTATCAACCAAAGGAGACAATCATTTTTGGGTCCACTAGAAATTTTTGGGACCCGCAATAGTATCACACACAAAAAAAGATACCTTTGAGATTTTTTTTGAAAACCTAAACGGAATCAAGAAATGTGAAAAAAATTAGTTGTTTTGATATTCGTGTACAGATTATTGGTTCTGGTAATGTAATATTTAAAAAATACCAACTTGGAAAAAAATCGACTCGAGTTGAAATTCAGGTAACTCGATTTTAAACTCGAGTTACGCTATTCAAATTAGCTGAACGAAGCTGGGTCAATTTGCCATA